AATAATAGCTGAAAAGCGGGCTGAGGGATTTCAATTTTTACAGCAGCTCTTACCGCTTCCCAGTGAGAAAGGGTACATTTTAATCATGCTAAATTTTTAAATGTTTAACCTAAATGTAGTAGCTATGCCAACTTTTGATTCATTTTGTTAGGTTTGGTGACATATCTGCGACACCCAAACATGGCGTCAAAAGTACTGCAGCGCTACCCAATGACAGCACATGAAGCAGGGACTGTCCAACTATGACCTCGATCTACACCTAGGATTCCCAACTTGGGACTAGGGTCGAGACAGTCCCACCCAAGGTTGGGATGTCACATTCTCAACTTGTTCCACAGTCAATGAGTCAACTAATATCCATCCAGTACAAATAATAAGTGAAAGTATTTTGATCATCAACAATATGATCATTTGGTCTAGTACTTTTACCATCTGTCAATTCAACATTTTGGGGTATCCCTCGAACTCTGGATTCATCGTCCACCGACAAACCCCCGAGTTCTAGGGGCACATTCTGGAGATTGACATGATTAAGCAAACGGAAAGAGTTCCATACACGGGCATCAGGGAATTTTCCCTTGCAGAGGAGTGGTTTATCAGTCATCAGAAAGCATCCTAAAAAGTCCAACTTAGCAGGGAAAATATTGAGGCAGTTAGGCCCCTAATTAGAAAATTACTTTCAAGCCACTCTCATAGGATCTGTGTACTGCAGAACTGTGGGGTCAGACATCCACCCCGCTGGGAGTGGGGCGGCTGTCGGTCCCCAGAGTTCTTGGGGTAGGGTCTGTGCACAGGATCTCAAGTCATGTCCATATATATTGGACTCTTCCCTCACCAACTGCTACACAAAATCACATCACAGTACAAACTTCATATAACCTCACATCACAGCCTGCATGGCTCATGTCTTTTTTCCATCAATCACGCCCGCTTTCAAGTCAACTCGTACCTTGGATGACTCATAGTCTCATACCATGTGCGACTCGTACCTTCAATAGCTCGTACCTCGAGTTGAGACCACTTGTACCTTCACCTTTGCAATTCCATTGTAACTTTCATGCTCTTCCTTTTCAGCATGTCAAGATCAGATCCGACAAACATATCAAGGATAAATTTTCAAAAGTCTCCCGAAGAGATCATGATTTTCTGCACAGTGCCTGCCGTGGGCGTTTTGCGCCATCAGTTTACATGAGGGATGTCAAACAGCCCGAACTGTTTACCAACTTGACTTCCTTATTAACATTCTTTTTTGGGGGGTTGGCTTTACTAAACTCCAAATTCTGGGGGGTTTTTTGGTTGGGGGAAGACTTTAATTTATCCTTATGGCTCTGGGAAAACGTTATTGGACTTATTCACTTTGTGGGGGAATGATGACTTTGTTCAGTAACTTTTTGGGGGGTGTACTTAATAAAACTTATGTCTCGATTTCTTTTGGAAATGTTTCTGGTCTTGTTTTTTAATGGGGGTACCTTCCTTATTAAAATTCTTTCTTTTTTGGACAAGTTACAACTGATATTACTTTATAAACTTTGAAGTAAATGAAAACATGACATCATCATTACGGTGGACTGCACAGTGAAGATCCCGAATTGCATGCACTGATGGCTGGCCATGTTGACCAGCGTCAGTTGCCTGACTGCACGTGCACATGCACGATGTCAACGCGTCCCACATCACATCCGTGATACCCTACCAGCGTGTAGGGAAAGCAGTGTAGCCAAAACAACAAATTAGATGACGAACACATGACTAAAAAATCAAATTATCGTTCAAATTAATTACAATAATATCAATAATCAGCTCTGAGCAAGCTCTGATTTCTGTGAAGGTACAAGGCGTCTTTACTGGAGGTAATGGTTGTCCAAGGTGCGACTCGGCAAAGGTACAAGTTGATACAGTTTTGTTGAGTAGATGGTGCGAGATGTCAGGGTTGTCCATGGTACGAGTTGTCCAAAGTACGACTCACTATAACTTCGAGTTGACCTGTTCCCTCGTGCCTTGTAAGTAGTACTGCGCTACTCTTTAAGTTTTAGACATGTTAGAAGCCGAGCACAAACAAAACCAGAAACAGTGGCAAGGCAATTGTTTGAAGGTTCTGTTGGTTACTGTATTTTTAAAGAAATCAAACTTAATCAACGCAAAGTTAAAGCTTGTAAAGGAGGCAAATAATGCCGGAACGTGCCGATATGGTGACTACGCATGACATGATGACGCACGTAGCTCGGCCGCGGCCGAGACCTAGCGCCCTTTAGAAAAATTACTCTCCAGGTACAAAAACCCGTTGTTCATTTCCATGGGTCCCCAAGTGTTAAACCAAGTCACCAATTTAGTGCATTCGAATACCTGACTTAGCACACATCTGCACACTGCATTAAGTCTAACAGACCGAGTTTGGATTCCATAAAAAATAAAAGGCCTTTCACAGATACAGCTTCACTCTTCCGTCAAACTCACCGCCATTGATTGATGCGCGTATTAGCTATCATCAGACGGTAGAGGGCGCACTTATAAAATACAGTACGCGCGCACACGCGGCAAATGCACGCGTGTGGTTATGAAACCTGTCGAGTCCGTCTCGGTAAAATAAACAAAATATGGAAACTATCTGTCTTTTTTGTGTGCGGGGGCTGTTTTGTTTTTAATCTTGCACTGTAAACGGAATAACCCACTCCACCAAATTAACAAAAATTATCTTTTCCAGGGCGAAAACAGTGTAGGATGAGATAAGTTGATGGTGTTTCAAGAGGAACATTACAATTAAGCACGTTTAATTAGTTATCCTGAAGTTGGCTGGAGCATGGCTGGAGCAACACTACATTTTTCATACCAGGGACCATCAGAAATGGTACGCCGTACGTGCGTATGAACGACTTCACGCGGTTCTTTCAGAAAAGTGAACAACAAATCATTGTGCTCGTGTTACCACCCAAGTTTTTCCCAGCCGCATTATGTATTAATTGGTGCCTGATTGACACTGAGGCCGTGATCGAAATAACTGGCTGCGGCTTGAAATTACACATAACACTCCGGGAGGAAGCTCCACTTCGAAGCTTCGTACGTTAATTTCAAGCCGTAGCCAAGTAAATGTAAAATTGGGACACAGCCTTTATTATATAATTTAATGAAGGTGTTTCGGGACAAAAGTTGCATCCAACACTCGGGGAAAAGTAATGCATGTAGGACACTCTCGTTTTAAGTGTACGGTTTATGGCACCGTGCTTTTAATATACTAGGCACAATAAGGACCAAAAATGGTAAAGTGGAATTCTTAATGTGAAAATAAACAATCTTTAAAAAAAATATTTTGTGCGTGTGTGCGTGTGTGCACACAAACGGTTCGTGTGACGTCACCAGTTTAAACCACGCCCACTGCAACACGTGCACTTCACATAGGGTTACATGCATTGATCGCCGTTTACGTGGCTACCGTGCCTCAGGGCTGCTCATCGTGGAACCATGGAACGGGAAGTTAAAGCGCACTTCTGCGATTGTCCAATTAGAGCCTGCAAATCGTGGCGCGTCTGCCGCCTTTGTGACGAAGTCACTTACGAACTGCAAAACGATTCACACACAAACACGGAACTCTCTGAACAATTTACTTCTCATGCAGAAGACTCCCAAGAAAACCATTTATTGGACATTAAAATTGGATGTGTATTACAACAAATGTAAGGCATAACAAATTCAAAATGAAGAATGGTTTCAAAGAAGATATGTAAATACAATTAAATGAGATGCCTGTGAACAATGCTAATCAAAAGGGTGGGAATAACTGTCAAAAAGAATTTAAAAGTGTCATATCTTACCGGTTATTATTTTGCTAAACAATTTATTCTTGTCTGTACTTCAGCTTAGTTGTGTTTGAATGCATGGTTCTCAAATTACATCTCATGATTGAAAATTCATGATAATGGCTTTAATAAACACACTGCACCCACGCAAGCGCCAGCGACATGTTTTGCATGGACGTAAACGACCACGAGAGGGCGCTACATTTTTTTGCAGACGACGGGCGCGAGAGGACTACGTGTTGCCGTACAAACAGCGGGAGAGTGCCTGACCCACAAAGCTTAAGAGGGAACTTCAGAGAACATTTGAACATAACAGTTTGCCTGCAGAAAGTCAAAATTATCCCATTATTTAAAAGAGAAATCTATTGAACGATTGTGTCAGTGATGCTTGTATAAAGTTACCATGGAAATTCTAGAAGTGGCAGAAATTAACATGGGTGTTTATTTCCCCCCTATTTCTTTAATTTGATTCTGCTTCCAAATCTTAGAAGAAAACTATTTTTTAAATACAATATACACTTAGAGGAGAAATGAAATAGGCTTTTTATTACTGTAAAAAATGTAGAAAGGTTTTCTTGCAATGTTACAAAGCATGTTCACCTCCTTGAATCAGTATAAGGCAAAAACTTCAACATTTTGTTCTTATGCTACCAAAAAATTTCATATTCATGACACAAAGCACGATGTCATCCAAGGCAAAAGTAAGTAGTATCTCCATGGCTCTGTTTACAAAATGTACATCACACTCTTATTCATTTTCTTGAAGTAAGTGCTACTTTTTACTTGTTTATTGTGTTAAGGAGTGTCTTTGGTCAATAGAAATGGCCAATATTTTGTCAAAGCTTTCTTAGTATGTACATTTCAGGACGAACTTCTTATGCACTTATAACAAGGAGTCCCTTGCGTGACAAAAAGCAAAACAGTGCCATTTAAAAAGTATTGATAAAAGGATTTTCGACGAATGGAAAAAATAATTCTTGTCACTTCCGATGAAAAGAACTATTGAAATCTTGTTTGTATTTCTGAAACAAAGTCGTGTAAAAAAAAACAGTTTGAGCTGAATTTATTTTCACTGCATATTTCTTGTAATTACACCCCTCTGTACCCTACTGGGTTGATAAGCCATAGCCAATGGAAGTGGAATGCTCCTAGTTCAAAACTTAAACTTATTTAATCAGTTACATTTCATTGAGGAGCTAATTAAATATCTGATGATGGAACAAAATCAGCCATTCCATTTGAAAATCTTGTTTTCAGGTTCACACACTCAAAACGCAAGGACCAACACCTTGAATGTACCGTACTTCAAACCTACACATTATTTCAGTGAGAAGTTTGAAAGCTTACTGGTCTCTTCGTTTGAATTGCGAATAAAATTTCAGATGTTAACACCCCAGATTCAGCTGCAAACCTTCCCCCAAACCTTCAGCACTGGAATGATTAACTGCCTTAATAAATCCCCATCTTCAACTGCAGGGTAGGTCAGGCAAAATCAACCAACAGGAAGGTATTCTAAACAATTTCTGGAACATGTCCGCATCACAAAACAATGCAAATATAAGCAATGCATGGGACTTAGTTTGGTGAAATTGTTAAATGTGTCTTAATGCAGCCCTTTATATAAAACTGAAGATGGCTTACAATAAAGGCAAAAATACCAGTCCTTCTTTTAACTGATGAAGAAATTTCCGAATCTGCAAGTAATGTTTAACGAAGCAAATGAAGTGTTGTCCAACAATTTGTAAGACACCCAGGAACATCTCCTGAACCATAAACCGATTGGGAATGTAACAACTTCTGCACAAAGAGAATATTCAGATGTTAGACAAAACAAATAATGAATCATTACATTTGTAAAACTGAAAGAATAATTTCATCTGATGGAAGACTGAATGTTCCATTCCACTCAATTTTGCCCTGTGGAATAGAACATTCACCTCATGACATCACTGTTACCATTTGACTAATAAATACCTATAGTATATATTTTTCAAAAATGTATAAGTGTTTACCTCCAAAGAATTAATGGAAAGAAAATACCAAATCATACTTGTAAACACTCCATACTACATACATATTGGAAACCTTTGGTTAACGCAACTAGAATAAAGTATCAAGTGCAGCTTACATATATAACACATCAGCCAAAAAACATGGCAAGAGTAAGTGACAGTTATGTAACAGGTGCATTAACACTCAACTATTTATAATAATTATATTGCAAAATGGAAAATAAGAAGCCAAATACGTATACAGGATATATAAGACAACACTGGAGTACCTTTTGATTGTAATTTTGTTGCATCTTGTTGCATCCATTGCAAGAAGATCTCTTAATGGAAGAGGTCTGTCATTGGACAGGGAATCCTGATGAGGAAAGGACATTTTGTACTGTTCCGTTCACTGCAGGCTAGATTCTGTAAACCTACCCATGTCATGTTGGCACTCACCACACAGTTCATCATGTACTGGGAAGCAATATTTCAGCAAGGGGGATGTCTGGGTATCTTTTTTTTTGGACCCCATGTTCTGTTACCTGAGCACATTAAAGCACAGAACCTCATCAACTTGGATGACCTGTTTTTCACTCGAAGGCAAATATGGCTATCTTGTTTTATTCAAGTGCTGGCAAAAACCTGCTCAGAAGGCATGACCACGGTGGATTGAATGTATTGTTTGATCCTTAAGAGCAGCCACTGACCGGTAAAAACAGAGCTGGCAGTCAGCAGTAAACACCCAGCAAAGGTGGGTGTAATTCAAGCATGTAGCCACTGCAAACTCCTTGAGCTTCACGATGACCGCTTGAGCATCTCATAACTCGTTTGTCCCTCTCCCTGCAGATTTCCGTGGGGATCCGTGCCTCGTGTTGCCACCGCCTCCCAGCCTTATCCTTGGGAAAATTGGGTGGGCTCGAATCCTCATTCTCTCTCCACCGCCTGATTTGCTCGTGCTCTTGGCGCCCCTGGGTCTGGTGTCTGTGGATTCGCAACACCCCATGGTGACTTCTGTTGGAAATTGAGAGAAGCTGAAGTTAGGAAAAAAACAGAATGACGCTTCTGGTTAGATCACACTAAGTGAAATTGGATACCTCATACCATTTTGTGTTTTCCTTTCCATCTCCCTTCAAGGATAGGATTACGGACAGTTAGGTTTCATGGTCTCAATCAATATCCCTCACCATTTTGTGGTCTGAAAATGCTTTTAACTTTTAAACACAGTTGGATAATCCTGTTCAAACTGTTTCCTAGTGTTCAGCATTTTCATTTGTTATTTTGTTTTGTTTTTTGGGGAGGGGGACCTGTTGATACATGTACACGAAGAAAAAGGCACATTTTATGTTATCATGCATTGTTTATGAACACTTCATGAACAGTAAGGGGAAAGATTTTACTTTAATACCTCAACCACAATGGAACAGCAAAATCTTCGAAAATAACCATTCTTTTGTGTTCAGCATTATATAAATGCTTGGCACAACCTTCGGTTTTAAGACTTTCATTGGGAAATCTTCGTGCAATTTAGGAGAAGAAAGTTCTGTTTTTTTATGTTAGATGTTCTTTGCACTGTATGGTGACTCAAAGTGTTCAAGGGTAAACCTACTGTCTGCCCCATTTTCGCCAGTTTCACTGAAATATATCTGAAAAATGACAGATTTTGCCAAGCAATATATGATTTTGAACATAACTGGATAGGCCTAGCTATTTTCAAAGATTTTGGGCCCGTTCCCGACCAATTCTGGTGGGTGTATTAAAATAAAATTTCCAATTTTACCTGGCCTCACTCAGTCACTGGTAAGGCCAAAAGTGCCTCCTATAGTAATCTACTCGTTCAGCTAAAATCTAACGTTACTTCTAAACACAAGGAAGTATAGAACGGCCTACACACGAACATGGCGGCTGACGAACATCTGACCAGCAGGGCATAGACTGGAGGAAGGGACACAGGCCTAACGTTACACTATCGACAAAATAGAGTGCTAAAATGCATGTAATGAATGGTGTATAGAGGACCCGACGTTGCCGTGGACCGACATTTTATACTTACACAATGAATACTATCCTTGATTTCTTACGATATAAAAACAAGGAAGATTCAACCATGAATATTATCCATAAATTAAGCGAGTAGACAACGGTTCACGGTCGGTAGATAAACATGGTAAGTGATGATCCTGCGCTAACTGAGTACGTAAGATATTTTAATTAAGAGGGCCTCTGTTTTGATTTGCACGATGGCACGATATTGTTTTCGTAAATAGCGCCCTCTTACAGTTGGGTGATTTTGCTCAAAGATTGTGTTACGTCGTGCCACTGATCTGATTTCCTTCCTCCATGTCTGAATTACTACTGCTTTGATTTTGCTGTCGTGGCGGGGTTTTTTTTTGGGGGGGGCGGCACTGGGAAGTCAGTTTCGTCTGTAAATAAACTAAACACAATACCTTCTGCACTCATGTGTAATGACCTGTATGGACACCAGAGATCACCCATTATTAAATTCATGTATAACTAAACTGTGATGCTACAATTCAACAATGCTACCAAAGGGCTCAAAACAAACTTTCATCAGAGGAAATGTGCCTCAGAAAACGCTCTGAGCAGAAATTGGCACAGGAGTGTATGTTTGGCTTCAGTTCGATAAGGAATATTCGAGATTTTTTTTCTGTCTGTCTTTTTCTGTTTGAGAAAGGCCTTTTGGGCATTCTGGAAGAAACTAATCTATATTTATCATTTGAAATATAGATTGGTCTCAGAGAAAAAAGTTTTAACAAAATAGCTTGGTTCGGTGTTTCATTATCTTCCGTCGCTCCCAGCAGAATTTCTGAAAATGATACACCTCGGTGTAATCTGAGCTCATTTTCAGTAGTAACTAGTGTTTGGGAAGGAAACGTAAAGACGTATCATTTGCTATTGTAATCCTGTCCAAAACTTGTTTTGCCTATCCTCGATCAGCTATACGACTGGTAACTAGATAGTTGTGTTGACGTGATCAGTGACGTACGGAAGCCGGATAGTGCCAGGGTGAATATTTTTTGCGTAAGGGGTGTAATACTTTTTTGACAAATTATGGGGCGGCCTCCACATAATTTTGCGAATATTTTTTTATGTATAGGGGGTGAATATTTTTTGCACATGGGGTGTATACATTTCTTGCGCACAAGGGGTCAATATTTTTTGTGCATGGGGGTTGTACATTTCACACATCAATTAAAGGTTCTTAATTTAACTTACCTTAATATCTGGTAATTCTGGTTGGAGTCAGTCCGCACGCGTCGCGACAGTGTAGCCTGGGCAAGCGCTTTGAACGTATGGAGACTACCGCTCTGGGCCCACGTGTAAAAAATCTGCAAAAACATTTCACCCCCTTTGTGCAAAAAATATTGACCTTCTATGCGCAAGAAACGTATACACCCCCTACAGAAAAAGTATTGACCCCCTATGCGCAAGAAATGTATACACCCATACGGAAAAAAGTATTCACCCCTGGCACTATCCGGCTTCCGTAGTGACGTAACCTAGGGCCTTAGGCCACATAATGCGGCAGAATAATATGGAAGGGCTGCGTAAGAAGCAGAATTAGAGTCAAAAAGAGAAAAAAACCTTTTTTTAATGTAATGGTTTTTAAAAAACAGACCGTACTTTGAATTTTTGAATTCATTTTCCAAAACCGAATAAAATCTTTCGGTACCTAATATATCTCTTTTGGATGAAATTTTACAGACCTAACATGTTTTCAAGATACGAATAAAATTTTTTGGACCTAATATGTTTTTAAGATTCGAGAAATTTTTTTCAGACCTAACGTGTTTTGGAGATTCGAATGAAATTTTTTATACTTAACATGTTTTCGAAATCCGAATGAAATTTAACAGACCTATTACGTTTTACAGATTCGAATGCATTTTCCCCGACAATAAACAGCCGAAGGTTTCACACCTGCATTTCATCCAAATTCAGAAAGCATCCTAATTTCGAAAGCATCCGACTTGAAAAAGCATCCGAATTTCGAAAGCATCCGACTTTAAAAAGCACCCGAATATTGAAAATGCATCCGAATCGACAAGCATCCGATCTTTTTGACGGTTTTTGGCCCGATGGTGTACCCGAAGTTCCGAATCTTTTTCGACGATTCGGCTGTGTTCGGTACGCGCATGCGCAGTCAAACTATATAATTATTCCCGCTCCCGGTCCCGGCGCGGTCAGTGCCAAAGATCGTATAGCGCCGCGTACGCGTAGCGGCGCAAGATGGGGCCGGGGAACTTCACCATGAATCGAATACACGTAAAACGTTGTTATCACATGGGCGCCATTCTGGTTGGACTACGACTGCGCAGTGCATGTTAATGCGCAGGCGCAGGCGCGCGACAGGCACGCACACGCATGAACGTTCACACTCGAATGGCACCTATGGTGATAACACCTTTATGGCCGAATTACCCATCTTGCGCCGCTACGCGGCGCTATATAATCTTTGGTCAGCGATATAAGCCCCAAATTTTAAGTCAAGCGACTAGTACATACGACGTCCCTGTCAATGTATGTATGTTGTCGCTTGACTTAATTCGAGCTTTTGGTAACTGAATACCTTCTTCAGGGCAAGCAGATTCAGTTGTCAATAATGCAGCAGAATAATGGTTCTGGCAATTCTTCTTACAGTAGACCTCTGTCCGCTCGCAATGCAAGTGACAGTCGAATGCGGAGGTTCAACCGCAGTGTCGGCATTTGCACATTTGCCTACTACATTCCAAACCCTTATACTCATTCACGGTCAATGGCAACATTGCTAAAGCCTGCCTTGGGACTGCAACTAATGTGACTCAAAGAAACTGAAAACACACAATTCAGTCAAGGTCATTCCAAGTTCATGTCACTGTGATCAATGTACAGTAAATCTAAATGGACATATGTTTTGTGTAATTTCCTTCACCTGATTGTGTTCGTACATAGTGTATGCGTACACTTGCACCACCGGTGCCTGCTGCAAACGCAGCGCAGAAAAGTTGGCCGCGTCCACGGAATACGGGCGATTCGAAATGGTGCGTCTCGAAGAGTTTGCAACGCGTTGGCTAATCAGAATGCGCGAAATCGCAAAGCGCATTTGGAAAGGTCGACGGATTTCGCACGTTGTGATTGGCCAACGCGTTGCAAACTCTTGGAGGCGCACTATGGGAATCGCCCGTATTACTTGGCTATGGCTTGAAATTACACACGACTGTATGGGAACTGGCCGCAGCCACTATCATAGACTCGTGCCCTAGCCAAGTCGATCGAAGGCAGGAGGCACAGCACTGATCTCTAGCTTACACGTGTAAGTCAAACTTACACGAGAGCGTTCGTTTAGCCAGCACGTGATGTTCGTGCCTGCCCTGGTGTCAGCCACCACTACCCCAGCTGGCGAGCGGGTCTCTGGAGGCTGCCCGAGTGTAATGACGTCACGGATGGACTGTTTGAGCATGGACGTACATAATGGAATGAGGCGGGGACTTGACCCTTTTCCCAGAATGCCTTGGAAAACACACTGCAGCGTTCGATATAACCTGATTTTGAGGCTTCCCTTGAGTGTAACACTAGTGTGTTTAGGGAAGCTAATCGAACGCACCCAGTATAGTAGAGATCTGAGAGGTACAGTGGCAGTCGAAGGGCTGTTTATATACAAAGGGCGCCCTCCAAAGTCGTACCTTTGTAATCAATCAGAATTTTCACCGTGCATCTGGTGACTTAAGCATTTTGTTTACTTCAGCACTTACACCAACTACATGTTATTAAATGAGACTAATTGATAAATACAAACATGTGAGATCGAGAGCCTCCGCGAACATAATGCAGTGAAGGTCATCTTTCCAGGGTTTGAATTCCACTAATGCTCTTCAGATATGCTGATTGCGCCAGGAAACCTCATAAGGTTGATTCTGAGATCAGTCTGTTCAAGGACCCAGTCGTCTCTTTGGTTTAAGGAGGGAGATTCCGCCACGTTAACGCAGACATTTTCCTCGTCTGACGTGACAAAGTTTGCCGAATTAACTGGCGATTTGAACCCCGTGCATACAAACCTGGAATTTGCCCAAAATACCCGATTTGGGAGGTGTATTGTACATGGAATTCTCGTAAATGGGTAAGTAGAACCATGATAGAAGAGAAATTAGTTAAGCTGCACCGATCACCTTAATAATGATAAACCTTTTCAACGTTCGCAATGCATTGTGGGTTTGGATGACAAGTGTACCTACAAAACGTTAATCTGTTTCTATTTTATTTCATGCTCCAATTCAAGCCACCCCTTCTGACAAAGTGTTGCATTATTGATTTGGGATGAAGATATTCACAAACTTTGAAGTTTAAAGCTTGGCAGAGAAGGAAAATTCAGAGAATTCCTTCCAACAACACCACTTTTTGTCACGCACCGTGCTTTTACTAATTCATGAATATTAATGTTCCAGTATTGTCTAATCAAAATTACGACTTGCAGCTCATTCATCTCGCTTTGACCAGTCACGTTCATTTTCAGCCCGTAGAGTGACTGGTGCCCTTAAAAAAAGACAATTAAGGGTGATTTGTTCTTACAAATATTTGAAAACATATTTGAAAATGTGTCTTGTATAATCTGATAATACGCATGCATCTGCGAGTTGATGAGCAGATACATAGAAATAATTTGTAGAAAGCTGTAATTTGATTTTTGACTGGTTCACTTCCCCCATAGGGTTGTGCATAAAATGCATTGCTTGTTTTTCATCTACACCCATAATGCGCTGCAAATGTCGAAAAGGTTTATTATACACCGTCAAAAGCAAATAAGACACACAGATTACTCCATCTACTGTAGTTAGTCCCTGACTGGAATGCTGCATCAGCATTTGGGATACCCCTGTTGTGCTCAGTTCATTTTGGACCTATACCTCCAAGATTACAAAACCAAACTGAAAGCAGTGCAGTGGAGAGCAGCTAGATTTGTGTGCAGAGACATGTGCCATAATGTAGTTTTTTACTTGCACACGTCTTTTTATGCGGGCAGTAATTCTAAGCCTTGTCTGCACCTGCTTGTCTTGCCTGAACCGATGTGGGAGTATACTCCTGTGGAGGTTTCTGCACAGTACAGGAAGATGATGATGACAGAAAAGTAT